TCTCAAGCTGAGGCTGGACAAGTGAGTGTTCCTGACACCTAGTGTGGAGTACCTGGGACACATCATCTCCCAGGCCGGCCCGGCCCCGGCTTCCCGCAAGGTTGAGGCCGTGCTCAAGGCGCCGAAGCCTCAGAACAATGAGCTTCAGAGCTACCTCGGCCTCATCAACTTGCAGAGGGGGTTCCTGCCCAACCTGTCGACGCATCTGGAGCCGCTGCATTGTCTGCTTTGAGATGGTCAGCAGTAGGCCTGGAAGAAGGAGAAGGACTTGGTTTTTTAGCACAGCAAGGAGTTGGTCATCAAGGCTCCAGTGCTGGTACACTTAGATCTGGCCAAGCCTGTAGTCCTCACCGTGGATGCGTCGCTGTACGGGGTAGGGGCCGTCCTGTCGCACAGGGGTCAGGATGGTCAGGAACACCCTGTGGCGTTTGCTTCTCGTTGGCTTCATGCAGCAGAGCAACGCTACAGCCAGCTGGACAAGGAAGGCCTGGCGCTCATGTTCGGGACCGAGCGTTTCCTCCAGTACCTGTGGGGCCGGAAATTCGAGGCAGTCACGGAATACAAGCCACTGCTGAGGCTGCTGGGGCCTGACAAGGCAGTTCCAGTGCAAGCCTCGCCTTATGTGGTACGCTAGGTCTTGACGCTGACGGCCTACAGCTATAAGCTTGTCTACCGCCCTGGGAAATCTGGTCTATCGCCCTGGGAAGGACCAGGGACCTGCGACGCCCTGAGCCGCCTGCCCCTGCCGGAGGTGCCTGCTGCTGTTCCAGAACCTACCCGGGGGTACTCAACAGGAGTGCAGTGCGCAGGCGACCACCCGGGACCCGGTTCTGTCACAGGTGCTCGAGGCGGTTTCCCGAGGGGAGGAGCTGCGTCACCAGACCTACAGCCACAAGGCCGCCGAGCTGAGCTTGGAGCAGGGCTGCCTGCTGTGGGGTTCCAGGGTTGTGATTCCTCAAAATCTCCGGGCCAAGGTCCTGCAGTTGCTGCATGCGGGGCACCCTGGCGGGGAAAAGACCAAGATGGTGGCACGGTCGCACGTTTGGTGGCCTGGCCTGGACCAGGACATCGCGCACCAGGTGCAAGGCTGCCAGGTCTGCCAGGAGAATCAGCGAGCCTCGCGCCACGCGGAGATCACCCCCTGGCTGTTCCCACAGAGGCCCTGGTCCTGCCTGTATATAGATTTTGCGGGACCCTTCAGGGGCCGCTACTTCCTGGTGGTAATGGACGCCTTCTCAGAGTGGGTAGAGGAACTGCCAGTCGCCACTCCATCGGCAAGCGCGACCATTGCGGCGCCGCGGCAAGTCTTCGCGCCGCATTGATTGCCGGACATTATTGTGTCCGACAATGGTCCCGCTTGCACCAGCGCGGAGTACTTGGACTGGCTGCAGATGAATGAAATCCGCCGGATGCTGGTACCACTGTACCACCCTGCTTCAATGGTGCAGCCGAGCGGGTGGTACAGACAATCAAGAACAAGCTCAAGAAGAGCCAGCCCGGGATTTCCGGACGCAGGTGGCCGGGGTACTGTTCCAGTACCAGACCACACCCCATGAGGTCACTGGGCGTGCCCCCTGCGAGCGTCTGCTGGGCCGGATGGTCAAGACCTCCTTGGACGTCTTGCATACAGACCTCCGGTCCACGGTGCTCCTGAAGCAGCTGAAGCAGATGCTAACTGCTGAGCGAGGGTGCCGTCCCGGACCTTTGCCGGAACCGGGAGCCTCGGAATACACCAGGAACTTCCGTCCTGGCCCACCCTGGTCTGCCGGACATGTGGTTTCTCCAGTGAGTGCCTCGTCGCTACTCGTTCGCACGCCCGACGAGACCACCTGGCACCGGCACGCCGACCATGTCAGGCCTCGCTCCAGGAACTGGCTTGCACCATCGGCAGTTGCTTCGGAAGACGATCCCACAGGAGGACCAACGACAGCACCAGTCTCGGCCAGAGGAGCGCCACCCACCACGGAGGCCACTAGCGTCGCCAGTCCTGTGGTACCATTTGGACCGGTGCGACTCCCAAATCCGCTTCCTGCGGCTCCACCGGACGGAGCGCGACCGGTTCAGGCAGCACCCGGCGTTGCCACACTCGGCCCGTCGACACCAGTGATCAGGCCTAGTACACGGCAGCGAAGGCCACCTGGCCGTTATTCGCCGGGGTAACCTTCCCCGTCAACTGGCCAGGAGTGAGTACGACCAGACACAAAATCTGTGTCGGCCGTGTGTATTGGTATTCATTTATTTTGCTTTCTAGAGAAACAAACTGGGGGGGGGGGGGGAAGGGGGGGAGGATTCTGACAAGTATCTAGCGCCCCCTCCAGTTCACCCGTCTATGGCCGCCAAGCTCGGCGGGCGACGTTGGTCACCGCGCCAATAAACACCGTGGAGCGCACGCCGCACCGGGTCAGTCATCGTCCACCCTCACAACCAGGTTGCGAGTCGTCTCTTCTCGGCGGGTTCTTCGGCCCCTTCGTCCACGTTCTCAAAGAATCGTGAAAGTTGTTGTCGGCTGTAAGCTGTGTGTATCTTTTACAACTATTGCACTCTTCTAGTTTTCACATTCAGAAGGTGCATCGTGCATTTTCTGCGCATGTGTGGGTGGGTGTCCACCTGGGAGTGCGTCAGCCAAATGAATTTATTTCAACGCGTTCGGCATTCTCTTTTTTTTCTTTCTTTTATTACACCTTTTTATTCGTCAAGTTGTTAATCGTTTTGTTTTCTATCGAGATTTATATCACTTTTTGTCTCTTGTTCTTCACGTTCATTGTGAGGTGACTTGCCTTGTTTTGTTGTTTCATCTTGTGACGAATTTCTATGCCTTCCCATTGAGTGCTTACTTGAAGGAAGTTGTTGTAGATAACCCGGTTATTGCCCGCGCTGTTTCCTTTGGAATATAGGAGTAATGGTTCTCGAAAGCAGCTTGCAAAAAAAATGTATTATGAGCGTCTGTCGCATCTACTTGCTATCGAGCTGTCTGCAGTCCATTGACAAGAGAAGATGTACTTCGTCGTGTAAAAACAAGTTTGGTACCGGCTAGAATACAAAGCTTTTTTTCATCAACTTCACAATGCAACACTTTTGGTTAAAACGTGTCTCCATAAAGAGGGTATATTTGTTTTACTGTTTTTATGTCCAAAAAGCTTGCGTAGATATAACACATGTTTTTAAAGTGTTGAGAGGGTGTGTTCTAGTGAGATATCCGGTGGTAAGCCCTGAAACAGAATCTTTCTTTTGGGCGCACGGGAAACTTTTCCTACGTGTTGCCTCAACCGACTCAATGCCGTAAGATTTACATGTTGTCGTTGGCTTACACAGAAGCTAGAAAGCCGCATGAGAGTGCGGCATGCCGATTTAAATGCCCGAACTTTATGTCATCATTTTCCTGAGAGCATTAGTCAAATTAGAGAAGTGAATAAGATTTTGGGAGATGGCCTTGAGTGGTTGCCGGTCCAAGACCGAGTGCTCAGATTAAGATAGTCTAATTATTTCGCGCCAGACGTAATTAAGCCAATCCGTCTTTAGAAGTATATTTAAAAGTGTATTTCTTGTAAACAAATATTGCTATTCAATAAAAAAATCGGGGCACTTACGCAACCCGTAAGGTGAAACACTTCGACAGCTGAAGGTTGCCGTCGGAGCCGCCAAGATGTCATTTCAGTGCAGATGGAGTGAATGGACGACGAAGTACGCGCGCTCGCTTAGTGAAACCCCTGTTCAGGGATACATCCTTGTGCGTGTAGCTTCGACCTCGCTTGCATATAAAGTGAAACGTAGTATAATGTGCTTACAATGTTTTTTAATTAAAAAATGACTTGTGAGATTTATGACTCTACGTGTCCTTCCATGATATGCAGGATGTTTTAATAATCTTGCGTTTAACGGTATTTTTAAACATTCAGTCGAGCGTTTAAAGAAGGCCTGGAACATCTATAACTTACGGCAAAGTAACAAAACAAACTGAAGTCACAAACAAAAACTTTCTTTTAGTTACTTTGCGAGCCAACCTATCAGAACCATTTACTGTGTGGGAAAGTAATCATGATGCAGTTTCATACTCAATCTTCCGCACCCCATTTAATAAAGAAGGCGCATATTGAAAATGCTGAGAAGAGCAAGGTATACAAAGTTGCATTTACCCTTACGGTCACCTTATGTGCCATTCCTTTTGAACCTTGCTACAGCGCTGTTCTGTTTTTTGTGTTTTTTTTACCCATTTGCTACATAAGACACTAATTAGTAATCTCTGATTAAGTTGATTTCAATCCTTTCGACCTTCGTACTAACCTCACATTTCAGGTGTGTGTTCCCCGATTGCCACTCCAGAATCGAAGGAATGCATGCAACTTATCGAAGATTGGGGGGAAGATCGGATGCAGGATGACAGGACAAGGTGTAAGTATTTCAACGTAAACAACATGCTACAATTAAAGTAAATTTATACGTTATAAATTAGGCAGAAGACGACGTTTTTATTTTGTGCCAATCCTTAGAATGTTTTTTTTTGTAGAAATGACTTGTTTAAAAAAAAATCGTTGTGCCATGTTGCCCAGCACACGCCATGGAACGAAATTGACACTGTCCAACTAAAACTGTGTAGCTAATCAGGGAAATTTTAGTTCGGTCGGAATGCATTGCGAACATTTAATTCTTCTATAAATTTTACTTCGAATTAATTTTACCTTGAATTAAATTTAAGGAGAACTTTCAAATTTAAAATTCATTGCCTAATTCATTATATGTAATTTTAAAATATTCTTCTTTCAGGAAGACTTTTTTTCTTTTGTTTTCTGGCGGATAACATGCACTGATTTTTTTTCATTTTCTGTAATGTTATTAAAACCTCAGACTAAAAATGATTAGTCATTATTGCATTCACGTGCTGCAAGTAAATAATTATTCTGACGTTGTTTTAGGCGTGATTGTAGTCGTGAAGGTATAGCTTAACTTAAACTACATTCAACCAAAATAGAACAGCCAGCCTGACAAATACCAACGCCACCAGATCAACTCGACAGCGATTTGAAAACTACCGTTACATCGCTATACCCCGCTTCAACTAAATCCAAACATCCTGGTGACAACTGTGTCTTGCAAAAAAGCACTGGATAATTAAGCGCCGCATCCCTAGGGAAAACGTTCAGAGAAAATAAGTTGAGTTCAAGATGTTGGTGCATTTTTTCCCTTGTTAACAGCATTAGTTGAGGAACATCGGTGGAAGGAGAGGATAGGTTGACATTTCGGTAGTTTGGTACGAACTCGTTTTTGCGTTTTTGAAGACCTTTATTCAACTGCCATCCTCCAGCACCGCTCGTGCCGAGTACAACTCTGAAGTCCCATACGCACCAGGTTTTCTTTTGCCCGGCTACCGTCCCCGCGCTCGTAGTGCCCTCTGGACACCACATCTTTCCCCTCCTTTTTAAACAAACATACCCAGTTGGTAACATCCGGCCATTAACAGTAAATAGTTTAGAAAAGTCCGTCGCTTTTTTTTTTTTTAATTCTTCTATTAGCCTTCGAGGCTTGCGCCGATCTCGCACGGGATACCGTCGCTCTCCGTCACTATTATCTGCATCCATGAGCGTCTCAGCATCCTGGGTGTTGCTTCTTGGCCTCGGGACTTCGGATGGTGCAGGCAAAGAGGCCTGTGAAAGGCATCTGTCGCCTGCGCTGTCTTCCGGTGTGCTGTCTGTCCAAGCCGTGGCAGACACCCCTCCCGCTTCGTCTGGACGAGACTCTGAAGGTCCGGAGTCTTGCGACGGTGCTCGGAGCAACTGGTCCTGATGCCTTCGCCATACCCGTCCCGGGGAGACTTGCACTTGGAAAGACACTGGACCAGTTTGGGCAGCGACTGTTTCTGGCTGCCACTTGTGACCACTTCGATAATCTCTGGCATAGACTTGGTCTCCTGCAGTGAAAGCCCGCTCTTGTCCTGGGTGTTGCCGCTGTTGGCGGTAGTGTGCGCTGGCCACACAGTCTGCAACTGATGGTTTCAGGAGGTCCAGTCTGGTGCGAAGATGCCGCTGTAGCATCAACTGGGCCGGAGACTCTCTTGTTGTCGGGTGCCGGGTGTTCCTGTACGATAGAAGAAAACGTGACAACCTTGTACGGAGGGGATGGCTCGAAGTTGTTTTCCGCAGATAGTTTTTCATGGTCTGAATAAACCGCTCAGCTAGTCCATTCGTAGCGGGATGGTATGGTGCAGACGTGACCTGGGCGATACCATTGTTCCTTAAGAAAGTTTGAAATTCCTCCGACACAAACTGAGGCCCATTGTCAGAAACCATGGTTGTGGGCAGACCAAACCGTGCGAAGCAATCTTGTACACACTGGATTATGACCTTTGACGTCGTAGACTCCAAGACAAACACCTCTGGCCATTTGGAGTGAGCATCCACGAGCACGAGGAACATTTTACCCATGAAAGGTCCCGCCAGATCCACATGCAGTCTCTCCCATGGACGTGTCGGCCATGCCCAAGGGTGCAGGGGAGCAGCGGACGGATTGTTTCGGTGCAGCTGACACATGGTACACCCTCCAATTTCCCTCTCAATGTCTTTATCCAGGGATGCCCACCAAACATAGCTCCTAGCCATTTCCTTAGTGCGCACGATGCCATAATGGTCCCCATGAAGTTCTTCTAGGACCCTTTTCTGCAGGGTCTTCGGAATCACCACTCGTAAACCCCACATGAGGCATCCTTGGTGGAGTGACAGCTCATTGCGGCGTACGTGGAAGAAGGCATACTCTGGATCGGTTGGCTTGCGTTCTGGGCCCCAACCATGCTTTACTCTTTCCACGATCTGACTTAGGAGGGGGTCTCTGGACGTCGCCCGTGCAATGTCTTTACATCTAAGAGGTACATTGTCGAAGTACTCACAGTAGAAGGCGAACGTTTCGTCGACGGCGTCTGTGTTGGGGTTGTCCGTTGCTTTTGGGAGTCTTGACAAGCAGTCTGCATTGGCATTTTCCTCGGAAGACCGGTGGACGATGGTGTAGCGGTGTGCGGCTAGCTGACAGGCCCACCTCTGGAGCCTCGCTGCTGTCATTGTAGGGATCCCGGTCGTTGGGCCTAGGATTTTCTGTAAGGGAGCGTGGTCAGTGATCAGCGTGAAGTGATAGCCATACAATTAGTAGTGGAATCTTCTTATTCCAAAGATGATAGCTAGGCCTTCTTTTTCTAACTGAGAATAATTCTTCTCGTGCTCAGTCAGGGTCCTAGAAGCAAAAGCAACTGGCCGCTCTGTTCCATCTTCAAACGCATGGGACAGGACTGCCCCTACTCCATACGCCGATGCATCGCATGCCAGTATAATGGGTCGACGCGGGTCAAAATATGTCAGGACAGGTGCCGACGTCACCAGCTTCTTAAGCGAATCAAAGGAGTCCTGACAGTCTGTGCTCCATTCCCATGCAGCCTTCTTCTGCAGTAGACGATTCAGAGGATACACGGTAGTTGCTAAGTTCGGTAGAAATTTACCATAGTAGTTAGCAAGCCCAAGGAATGAACGCAACTCTGCCTTGTTCTTGGGAGGGGGTGCATCTCGAAGTGCTGCTGCTTTATCCTCCATGGTTCGTAGACCACCCCGACTAATCACATGCCCGAGGTAGGCAACTTCCGTTTGGAAGAATTTGCACTTCTCTTTCTGAAGACGCATTCCCTTTTCTTGTAATCGTGTTAAGACTGCTTTCAAGTTTTCAAAATGCTCACCCTTCGTTCTGCCAGTCACCAGGATGTCGTCCAGGTAGCAGGTGGTCTGCGGCAGCCCTTGAAGCACTTGATCCATAGTTCTTTGAAAAATGGAGGGTGCAGATGCTATGCCGAAGGGAAGACGGTTCACTTGGAACAGCCCCAACTGGGTGTTGATGGTGAGGTACTTCCGCGCTGCAGGATGCATCTCCAGCTGTAGGTAGGCTTTTGACAGGTCCAGCTTTGAGAAAAACTTCCCTCCTGCCAGCGTTGCAAACATCTCTTCTATCCTGGGGAGCGGATAGTTGTCGACCTCCAAGCACGGGTTGATTGTTGACTTGTAGTCGCCGCAGATTCTTATGTCTCCATTCTTTTTGACGACCGGCACGATGGGCGATGCAAACTCGCTGCTGTCCACCGGGGTCAGGATCCCCGCCTCCTTCAGTGCCATCAGTTCTTTAGAGACAGCTTCCTTCAGGGCGTGGGGCACTGGTCTTGGCTTGAGGAACTTTGGAGTGTGCCCACTCTTCAGCTTGAGGTGAGCTTCAAACCCCTAAAGACGGCCCAGATCGTCTGAGAACACCTGAGCAAAGTCCTTCAAAAGCGTGTCGACTTGTTCCTTGCTCCCCTTCTCCAAGCACTGGACAGCCTTGATGCTTGTCCAGTCGAGCCTCAGCACCTCCAGCTAGTCACGTCCCAAAAGCGGGGGACCCTTGAAGTCCACAATCTGCAGCGGTAACTTGTGAACCTGGTCTTGGTACTCCACTTCAACCTGTGCCTCTCCTACCGGCTTCACCTTTTTACCGGTAAATGCTCGAAGGACGACTCCACTTCTTCCCTTCACTAGATTGGGAAACCTTGTCTTGTACAGGTCTAACGGGAGTACCGACACCGCCGCCCCGGTGTCTACTTCCATCGTCAGCGGAATCGTGTTCACCTTCACTGTTACTTGCAGAGGCCGCGGACGTGTCCCCCGAAGCTCGAACATCTCGACCTCGTCTTCCGTGTCGACGTTCAGCGTCTTGACTTTTTCCCCTTGATTCCTCCGGCCTCGTGTCGGTGCTCCGCGATGCTGAGAAGCTGCTGGCCCGGACTGCTGGCTCCTGCACACTCGTTCAAGGTGTCCGCGTCTTCCGCACCTACGACAGTCTAAGCCTTTCCACCTGCAGTTAATTGCTGTGTGATTCGTAAGTCCGCAGTGCTTGCATTCGGACTTGTCCTGGTCCACCTTAAGCACCTCGGCGTCCGCGCTCCGGCAATGTAAAACTTGTGCGTTCGCGGAGGCGGCTTCCATCGCCACTGCGATTTCTAGCGCCTTCTTAAACGTCAGGCCAGCTTCCGACAACAGTCGCTTTTGAATGGAGTCGCTGATAATGCCGCATACCATGCGGTCACGTAAGGCTTCGTTCAAAGTGCCGCCGAATTCACATGTCTGCACCAACTTTTTCAGCTCGGCTACGAACTCGAGGATACTTTCATTCTCGTTTTGGTTTCTTTTGTGAAAACGGAAGCGTTCCGCGATGACAAGAGGCTTCGGCGACAGGTGCTCTCGCAATATGGCTACCAGCTCGATGTACGACTTGCTAGCCGGGATGTCCGGCGCCACCAAACTCTTTAGCAGAACGTACGTCTTCGCGCCAATGAGGCTTAGAAACGCTGCCACTTGCCTTTCTGGTTTGACGTCGTTTGCGACGAAAAACTGGTCGAGTCGCTCGATGTAGGTTGGCCAGTCCGTGCCCGCTTCGTCGAACGGTTCAATTCGACCGAGGGTCGCCATGGCGTCGCGGCGTCACCGGGGAGTAGTGCGGCGGGCGACTCTTCGACGGGGCTCGCGTGGCTGGACGCTCGTCGCCAGTTGTTGCGTTTTTGAAGACCTTTATTCAACTGCCATCCTCCAGCATCGCTCGTGCCGAGTACAACTCTGAAGTCCCATACGCACCAGGTTTTCTTTTGCCCGGCTACCGTCCCCGCGCTCGTAGTGCCCTCTGGACACCACACTCGTGTTCAGGTGAATCACATGAACACGCGAAATAGACACAAAAACCAGGGTAAACATTTATCTATGGATAAAATCGTTCTGCGAAATTTCTTCAAGCGCAGCTGTTATAGGCCTGTTTCGCTCGGCCAGGGGGCGCTGTAGCGTTCACGAGACGCGACCACAAAAGAAGTGCCTCCGCTAGCGTCCGCGAGACGCGACCAGTTAATGGTGACGCAAAGTGGCGCCCCAGCGTCTCATCGTGTACCTTCCACGGGGTTAAACTAGCGTCTGACAACTTCCCTCGGCGTCTGCTCAAGGGTCACGGGCACTAACAGAGCGTCTGAACGGACGCAACGCTACGCACAGTGGAAACGCGACCTTAAAATATCCGATGTTGCTCGCCAGGGGCGTTGTTCAAACCTTGAGAGCTACAGCGGCATTGGTGTTCAGAACCCGCGGGTATCGCTGCATTGACATCTCTCAGCAGAGGTAATTAAGTCATATTGACACGAATAAGAAATGACGAGGGTCGAATGACTGAAGTAATCTAAATGTTTAATGTGGCGAACTTGTGCCGAAAACAAAAACGAACGCTTTCGTCGCACGGGTCGATTGCGGTGAAACAGCCGGATCGGGGGATGGGGCGAGACTGACTCCGTCCGGCATGGCGCGGCTTCCATTAAGCCTTCCCTGGAAGCCTATATGATACTTCCTTAATCGTTCCCAAACAACTCATTCTAAACATGAACAAGCTAGATGGTTCTTTAATCTTCCCGAATATCCTACTTACACCAATAAAAATAAAAAAATGGGCAGAAATTCGCAAAGAAATATGTGAGAATTTTGTGCAAAGGTTATATACAGGGTCTAAAAAAAAGTAATTTTACGGGGTTTTTTTCTCCGCAAAAACACACTATGCATCGCCGAACGCTCATTCTCCCCCCAAAGGTAGCGCTAGAGGTCACAACCAGATGCCAAAGTTTCAGCCCGATTCGATACCTTATTCAAAATTATAAGTGAGTTTCTGAAAATTTAAATGTAAAAATGGAGCCAATTTTCGCCCGTTTTCGGTTTCTGGCGCGATAGAGCCCCATGTATTCGAAAACTCCGTCGGTCGCCATTTACCCATTGAAATTTTCAGAAAATCTCTTATAACGTTTGATTAAGGTATCGGATCGGGCTGAAACGTTGGCACCTGGTTGTGACCTCTAGCGCTACCTTTAAGCGGAGAATGAGCCTTCAGCTATGTTTAGCATTGCGGTAAAAAAAAATCTTTTTTTTTTGTGTCACTCTGCATAACAAAGCATGGTGAATGAAGCCTCCCAGCACTTTTCCTTGGAGTGAACATTCCCGAAACCCCTATTTTCTCTTAGTGCAGGCAGGTTTGGTCACTAAGCATGTGCATGAAGGACGCCAGCCGAAAGGGGGGACACCGACAAAACCATTTCGTTGTTGTACATGAAGACGCGACACCACTGTGCGCTGACGACCAGGTGACATGGTAAGACGACTGCATGCCAAGAAAGGCGTCGCCGGCGGAAGAACGAAATCGCAGCCGGTGTGCATTCACAGGTCACCAACGCCGATGGCAGGAGCTCCACAGGGCGTTCAAAGCGAGTATTAGCACGCCAACTGTGTGGCGCAAACGGGAAGAGGGGGGGGGGGGGGGGGGATTTCACCGACCGAAGTGATACACCCGCAGTCCCTCACTCCGCCGGTGATCTTCGGTTGTTCGCGCTGTGTCGCCATCCCGCGGCGCCAATGCGAACTCTAAAAACGTGTGTTCCAACGACGTCCAAGCTAGGTGGATGTACCAGGGCACTAATGCTGACACATTGAAAACGATACGCAGCGCCCGGAATCGAAGCCGAGCCATGTGGATATCTGCCAAGCGCGCTGCCGACTACGTGAACACGTGGCTTTACCCCCCCCCCCCCCCTCTCTCTTTAAAACACATCGCCCGATGCAATACGTAACAAAACAAAGCGAATAAAAATAACAATATATTCAACAGTTCGAAAAAAAAAGCAGCCATCGGACATACGAAAAGTCACCTGTCGCGTCAACTGTATACAATGGCTTGAGTCGAACGAAGGGAACCACCTAGGGTCTTGGTCGGCGTTGTCATGATGCGTCTTTTCCATTGGGTACCACCTCGTAGTTGAGCTCCCCAAGGCGGCAAAATATCCTGTAGAGGCCTAAGGGGCGGTTTAGGAGCTTCTTGTTGAAACCTCGTCGTGGTACTGGTATACAGACCCACACAATGTCTCTGGTCTGGAAGTGGACGTCGCGACGACCAAAGCTCTACCGGCGAGCATCGACGCGCTGTTGGTCTTGTAACTGTAGCATGGCGAGCTGTCGGACTATCATGGTTCGTTATTTGACGACAGCGGTGAGAGTCGTCGCTTTCGTCGTCATCAAGTTCGTGGGACACTATCCGTCCAGCATCGTCGTAACTTTGCTACCATGGACCAGCTAGAATGGTATGATTCTAGTGTTTTCTTGAACTGCAATATTGTAGACGAACGTCACATGCACAAACTGTCATCTCATGTTCTTTGACTAAACGTCGACGTATATCGAAATCATGTCGGCGATAGTTTTGTTTAGCCGCTCCGTCAGCTCGTTGGTCTGCGGGTAATAGGCGATGGTTCGACGGCGGCTTATGTGACTGAGTCGGAGAATGTCTTGAGTTACAGTTGAGCAAAGAAAGACGACCCTCTATCTTTGATCAGCACCTCGGGAGCATCATGCCGGAGGATGATGGATTCAACTAAGAACTTGGCAACTTCAGCAGAAGTCGCCGATGGAAGGGCTCTCGTCTCTGCTGCCGGGTGAGATAATCGGTTGCGGCGGTTATCCAGCGGTCTCCCATCGTCGATGGTGCGAAGGGAACTAGCGAATTCATTCGAATTTTCTGGAAAGTGCGGTTGTGGTAAGAAGAATCCTGTTGGGTTCTTCCGTGGTTGCTTGCGTCGTTGACACTCGTGTTCTTGTGCTCGTGTCCTCAAGGTCGAGTAATTAGTCACGTAATGAACGTGGATTAAGTGCAAGGTCACCAGACATGGTCACAGAAGCGACGATTGCGTAAGCGCCGGTAGTATAACCTCGTAGGCGTCAATAGCTGAGGCTGACGTGAGCTGACACCCTTTACATCATGCTAAGCGTTGCTCTAGAAGTCGCTCTTGAGGTCGTTCTAGAGGTCGTCCTAGAGACAGTATTAGACGTTGTCTTTGAGGTTGTCTTGGTGGTCATCCCAGAGGCCCTCCTAAAGGTCGTCCTTGAAGTCGCCCTGATGGGCGTTCTTCACGTCATCTTTTACGACGTCATCCTCGACGTAGTTCTGAGCCCAGTTCTTGACGTTGTCCTCGACGTCTTTTAAAAGGCGCCCTTGAGTTAATCTTAGATTGCATTCTAGAGGTTGTCCTCAAAGTTGTCCTAGACACCTTCTTTGTCTTCGTCCTTCCATTCGTCCTAAAAGTCGAGCTAGAGGTTATCCTGGACGTTGTTCTTGAGAGTGTCCTAGAGGTTGTACTAGACGACGTCCTAGACGCCGTCCTTGACGTT